AACAAGTGCCTTACTAGTAGTAACAGGTGCCTTACTAGTAGTAACAATGACTCAATGAGGCGCATCACATCGCGCAGTGCCACATCACATCGCTTCGAGTGCCACCAAAGCACTCGATTCACTGCGCCACCGAGCTGCGACGCGATTCACGTCGACGCCACAGACCACGAAAACACCAGGATTCGCCTGTGTGTAGCACGAAAGGTCAAGTACAGAAATGGCAACATAGCCAGAGCGCAGTCCAGGAAATCACCCCCGCGCGCGCCCACCAGCTTGTGCGAGCCTGGGCAGTCGAAATACACTTTGATCTGGAGAGGCATGAGTGTCCTGTAGCGGGCAATGAAAAGCCGTGTCGATCAAACCCAGCCTGTAAGAGCCACATGTGTGACCACACTGCTTGGGGCGGGTTCCTCTCAGAGGACTTGGCATCATTGGCTCCGGATATTGAAGAGTTCATGAAGGCCTACCTGCTGGACATGGAAGACGTAAACAGCATCATGCCACTTGGTTTTGCAGCTTGAAAGGTGAGAAAGTCGGTGTAAGCCTGAACCATCCGTAGACATGATCCCATCCAAACCTCTCATGCGGGTGGCTCGGTATATCCTGACGCGGTATGCCTCTAACCTGAACTTGCCTTGGACCTCAAATGGGGGTCAAAAGAAGGGTCCCCACAATTTTCAGAGCCCCAAATGAGGAACCACTCACCTAAACTGTGAATCTCTGACGCACTTGAAATTCTCAGCTTGGTTCGTGAAAACCACAAACTGAGAAGGTCAGTGAAGCTCAGAAGGTGTAGGATCCCAACAGCCCAAAAAGAATCATCACTGTTCAGAGTCATTGGACCCAAGGTCTCTTGGTCTGCTTCACTCTCCACGCGCGGGGCGGGGAACCAAATCGGACGAAGGAACGAAGCCCTTCGTTGTCGGTTTGTGGAGCACCTAAGGCTCAAGAAGATGAACTCAGATATGAGCTACTTTGATGCTGCCTGCGAGTGGCTGCATGCTAACAATGAGATATGGCAAGCTTGGCTTCCGGACAAAACGAAATGCTTTGAACGCTTCGGCCTCTACAACGAGAAGGAAGACGCTCGGCCGGCTTTCCGAGCACCGCGCCACGTGGGGGCGCCGCGCTGCGGTAGAGGTTGCGGGAGTGGCGAGGTCCGAGTCATTGAGCGGCGACTCCATGGAACTGCTGATTTGATGGAACCACCTGCCGTGTGCATCTCGTTTTTTTCGGGATCCCATTGTGCTTCAAGCACAAATGGGGCTGCCGTTTTTCGTTAACTCTGACCAAAGATTTTAGCTACTTGCTGCATGGCCTGCCGTTTTTTTCGATGGCTGGGGGAGTCTGTAGCGAAGAAGTGAGGACGACTCTGCCTGACAAATCCATCATCAGTTGGGTGCAGTGCAGTACTACAGAGGACCGTGCCGGACCAGCCCACCCGAAGCCAAACCGACGGACCTCCGGTTGTCTGGTGTTCGTCGCTTCGAGCCGGACCCGTGTCCGGCTCGTCCCGCGTCCGGCTCGCCCCGCTCGTTGCCTTACTAAGGAGAGGTACGTGGAGAGCCGTGCAGATCCGACTCACTTGGCCTGCCACGCGTGCCCGCCGGGCTTCCATTCCCAAAGCTTGGAGGACGGACGGTGTGGTGAAAAGCTGTGAACTGCGGATTGGTGGGTGAAAAGACATGAAGCTGCAGAGGTCAAATACAAGGATCACCCCGGAATGGCCATTCTGAGGCACAATCAATCTTCTGCTTTCTGCAGTGAACATCTACACATCAATCTTGTTCACACCGGGTGTGGGCGGTGCTTTGAATTGTAAAGATTGACCTTTCTGAAAACTCTGAGATACATCAAGATGTGATGCACGTTTCAATGCCTCACTTGATGTATTTGTTCGGGAAGTCGGGTCTGTCCGACCGACAGCTCCCTTCTCTGGGAACGAACATGGGCATGCCCAGGTCTCTCTGCACCAAACATTGACACACTTCCCCATCCACTTCCGGGTGTGCACTCGTACTTCTCCGGGTCCAGTCAAATCCGAAAGAAACATACATCATAAGCACGCCACTTCTTTTTGTATCCCCTGTTGGGCAGCTGCCCATCTTTTCCAAAAAGGCCGCACCAGCTGCGATCACCTCCAGCTGGCGCCTACCATTGGCCACCACTCCTGGTACGACCCAGCCAGGCAGCCCCTTGTACGATCCCCCGGGTGATCAGGACACGCACATTTGCCTGCCATGTTCTCCGGGAAGCTATCAGGTCGAAGGGGGGGTGGGACACTGGGGTGGCTGGGGTTTGGTGACCAGTGGAGTTATGGTTTGGTGACAAGAAGCTACTGATCCAGTTCAGGTTGGATTTGTGTGGATGCGGCAGCTCTTGCATATCTCAGGATTGGTGTATATAGAAGACAACTGTACAGTACACCCACTGTGGCCGACATGAACAGACATGACCTGCTTGCCGACATGCTGCCCGGCTTCGCGTCAGGTGTCCGGTGCCTCGCTCGCGTGCGATCCTTGCCCTCTGGGCGAGTACCAGGATGAGACTGGCAGCATTTCATGCAAGCGTTGTGGCTTTGGCGAGTACCAGAATGCCACGGGTCAAAGTAGCTGCAGTCCATGCCCTGCCGGGACCACAACACTGGGGTTTCTTGGAGCCCAAAGCTATATGCAAGCAGCACGCACTCCCTTGGAGAATTGCCCACTAAACATATCACATACGGTATCATTTTGAAACGAACATGGATGCAAAGCAGACAGTTCTGTGTGAGGTTTCATTCGCAGTCCATCAACGATTGTGGATGCAAAGACGAGACCATCAACGTTCTCTCGTCTTCCAGCAACATGTGACTGAATCGTTTTTCTTCAGGGGATTATGAAGGTTTCCAAATCCAGTAGCATAGGTTGGAGACATTGGAGACCATCGCTATTAGGTTAGAGGCCATCACTTCTTTGAATAAGAAGCTATTAGGTCGTGTGTATTTGCTCTTTTTTGGAGCACTTTCGGACTTGTGGCAAATTACGTGCTACTCCGGGTCTCCAAAACAGGAACATGAGACCCGGGTGGCTAAAAAACGAAGCATATGTGGAGGATGACTGTTGGCCTCCATCGCGTTTTTTGGTTGGAGGCCATCGCTACTAGGTATATTTTCTTTTGCCCTACCAGTACTGCAGGAGTACTTTTCCAGGGCTGAAAGCACCCTTGATCGAGGGGTTCAATGGTTTTTTGGAGCAGCTACTTTCACATCGCAGCAACTTTAGCGACTGTCACGGGTGGAGCTGCTACGCACACCTGAGCAGAAAATCAATCATTCCATATCTGGGGAAACCCGATCCAGAACTTCCAAAACACATGGAGATGAGCTGTGCGACTTCTTATTGACAGCTTTTGGTACTTCTTAGTGGTACTTGGCTCACACGCGCACTCGTGCACGTGTGTGTGTGTGTGTGTGTATGTGTGTGTGTGTGGCACCCAGGCAACTTCGAGTGCCAGCGATGCGGGGAAGGACTCCGTTGTCCATTTGGCTCCAGCATTGAGAGCTTGACGCAAGGTGAGGCAGACCTGGGAGATGATTATGTACCCGAAGTGCTTCAAGGCAGGTGCATCTGCAGAGAAACAACGGCTGGAGAACCCCCAATGCATCGGTGACACGGTTGAACCCCGAGCCGCGGTTGGAGGCCGCTCTCAGTGAACGTGTTCCCATAGCTTTCACTTCTATGCCAACCCATGCGATGCGACAAAACGACCAGACATTGTCAGAGTCCCGAAACGAGGGTGTGAGGTCGCGTGCCGTGTCGTTTGTCTTGCGTGTCGTGCGTCCTGTTATAAGTATTTCTGTTGCTACATGCAGCCTTATACCATTTCAGACCCAAGGCAAGCTGCTATTCCACTAGTATTGTTTCCTATGCACCATGAAGTACAGATATTTTTGGAATCTAGATGTGAGTATAGACCAATGACAGGTGTCATTGCACGACTCATGCACAAGGTTGCTTCAAACATATCTTCGAGCTCTACACATCAATCGAACAACTGCACTAATACCTGATGGTGGATGGGGCTGCAAAAACACCAATATCGATATCAATCTGTATCCATATATGATTTATGTGTGTATACGAACCCATTGGACCTCTGTTTTGATAGGAAAAGACCTTATGTTGAGTGGTTGGTGGTCCGAGGTCATTCAGGTCAACTATACAAATAGAAGGCTTCCGTAAACTGTTGGTTTTTGGTGCCGTTCCGGAAGTTCCAGAAGTTCCTTTCGCCGTTTTGCGACATCATCACTGCCCTGCAGGTTATGTGTCCCACCCCGAGGATCCCTTGAAGATCTTCGAATGCCGACCAGCCAACCTTTGCTCCGGTGGAACACCAGGAGAAGCCGAGGGCGTCCGAAAGGAGGTCCGACATCAGGTCGCAAAGGTTTCGAACGGAAAGAGAGGTCCACGGTGAACTGAAGCTGTAGAACGGGAGGTTTGCCATGACCCCACTTTTTGGGCGCACTCGCAACGAGGACAGTGTGCTGGAGGGCTCTCAGGCCTGCCCTGTGCTTCTTGCGAAGAGGGAAAGGCTTGGAGTGGCACCAAGTGCGAGGAGTGTGGAGCAAATTGGGTCGGTTGGGCAGTCGGCACACCCGTAGCTTCGGCTTCACCGGACGTCGGCTTCAGCTTCGACTGGACCGCCCCAACGTCACAGTTCTGAATGTTTTTTTTGTTTTCTCATCATCACTGTTGTCTGTTGTCATTCCAATTCTGAAAACTCCGGCCTCAAAAGAATTCAGTGCTGGAAGAAGTTGTGTGATTTCATACCTAGCATCCACCCGTACGGAGAGTTCCCTTCCCCAGATGCTGTTTCCTGCGTCTTTGCGAGCGAAAGGGCTTCGCTCAGCATCGAAGGGTGTCTGGAACCGTGCTATTCACGTCATGGTAAGGTCTTGGTGTGGTTTTCAATCGAGCGATTGACTCCTTGCTGATCGTTCTTTTCAAGTTGAACTATCCAGCTTTCCCATATACCTATCTATCCAGGTCTTGTTTTGAATGTTGTGAATCCAGTTCCCGTTTATGTCTTCCTGTTTATCTATGAATGTGCTTCTGTGAAGATCGTTTTTCTGATTGGCCTTTTCCACTATAAGAGCGCCCCGCACGGGCCAAGGGAGAGCGCCCAACCCCAACGTGAACCCTTGAAATCAGAGTGGGGGATCTGCGGCATCCGGAGAGATGGTGTGTACCTGAAAATACCCGGCTGAATCCCAACGACACATATACTGTCAACGACACAGAAAATACATCGCATTTTGAAGTGCTCAACTCTGGTACCGGCGACGAAGTTGAACATGGCATGGCCGCCAACAGTGGGATCTTCCTGAAAATACCCCCTTGTGATTCTTATTAGCAATCTGTACTTCCTTTCCCATCACAAGCAGTTCCAGCCTTTTTGGGTCGGTCGCTTTTCTTTTGGCCCGTTCTCAGGTAGCAGCTACGGGGCTCATTGGTGCCTACTACTTCGTGAACACCGAGGTGATGACCAAGGCTTCAGCCTTCCAGGCCAATTGAGAAGGACCTGAAAGGGACCAGAGGAACAGCGAAACATGCCACAGATTCAACATCTAGATGAATGCAGCATGATGCTTGCAGCATGTGTGTTTGTTTCTGTTGTTGTTTTTTGTGGTGCCACGCGCAGTGCACACAGGCTTGCTTGATGGCAGCGGGCATTGCCGTGAACGCGTTTCAAAGCTTAGCGATCTTTGGCATGATGACCGTGAAGTGGACGCCCAAATTTGAAAGCCACTGGGCGACATGATGCGAAAAAGAAGGGCTCGGGACACGGCAAACGTGGCCTCCAAGCCTTAACAAAAACTCGCGGCTTCAACCGTACTGAAACCATGCTCATCCATGCTGATCCGATCTCAGGTGCCAGTTCCGGCCTCAGTGTCTTCGTTCTGGACGTTGAGATCCTGGGCATCACTTGCGTGACGGGGCCCAGCAACTTCCTCCGCTTCCTCGGCAGCGCGTCCGCGTTTCCATTGGCTTCCTTGGTGTTGGTGGCTTGTTGGGCCACGACCCAAAGCTGGAGCAAGATCTGCCAATGCCGGAGGCTCCAGAGGCTCCAGGCAGCTGTTTGTGAGGATTGGGGCAGCTGTTTGTGGCCTGGTTTGGACATATTAGTAACAGCTGGATCCAAATTGGCATTCCGACACCGAGACATCCGGCATCGTTTGGCCTCGAAATCTGGCAGGTCAGACCATGGAGGTTGTACCAAACAGCCCACACCATCGGCATCTTCCTGCAGGTCGACTGACCGGGTCGAGTGGTCCTCGTCCGAGCCGATTTCACTCAGTGGTTAGGCCCTGATTTCGGAGGGGCTGAGTTCTCAGGGCTGATTTTGGCCTCAGATGTCGGTCCGAGTCTTTTGGGGTGACTCGTTCAATGGTTCCAGGATGTTCCAATGTTCCAGGGCAGAGAAGACTTTGGGTCAACAAACATAATCATTTGGTGCATGCCTTGCCAAGTCTGCATCGATCAGGGGTCATTTTTTGAAAATGCATTTTCCCTCCTTCCCCATTCCATGAGACAAGTATCTTTTGTGCTCTTTCCTGCTTCTCACAGCAGGTTGGCTTCAGTGCCCTTGGGGCATTGGCCTTGCAGCCTCTCATGTGTTACCGCCACCCCAATGGCCAATACAGCCTCTTGAAGTACCCGGACACCTTCTGCGGAAGCGATGAACATGGAGCGATGCTGGGTGTTGGAATAGCATCTCGGCGGACAACATGTTTTATTTCACCAAACAGTTCACTGTTAGGGGTTCAAAATCCTTTCTTAATCCGCCCTTTCTGTCACTGCTCCTGTCCGCCATTTTCCGCTGGCCATGCAGCATTTCTATTCATTTGTCTCCCAGCCTCCCAGCTGATTTCTTTACTTTTGTCTCCCAGGTTCGGTGCCTGCACTGCTGGTGTCCGCCCTTTTCCGCTGGCCACGCAGCATTTCTTTTCATTTGTCTCCGGTGTGATTTCTTTACTTTTCTCCAACCAGGTTACTGTTAGGGGTTCTCAATGCTTTCTAAGAGTGTCCGCCTTGCTGCGGGACAGCGTGTCCGCCTTCCGTCGCGGCTTGTCACCCTTTGTCTCCCTTCTTTTTGGTCATTGCGTCCGCCTTGTCTCCCTTGTGTCTCCCTTTGTCTCCGGTCTTGCATCCCTTCTTGTTGGTCACTGTGTCTGCCTTGTCTCTTGTTTGCCTTCTTGTTGGTCATTGTGTCCACCTTGTCTCCCTCCTGTCTCCCTTTGTCTCCGGTCTTGTTCCCGTTCTTGTTGGTCACTGCGTCCGGCTTGTCCCTTCTGTCTCCGATTGTTCCTCTTCTTGTCTCCATAGGATTGCAACACGGCAGTTGAGAGCTGGGAGACAAATGGAAAGGATTGCAAGGCAGAGCTTGGCACCTCGCAAGACAAGAAGGGAGACAAAAGGAAACAGAAGGGAGACAAGCCGACACAGTGAACAACAAGAAGGGAGGCAAGACCGGAGACAAGAAGGGGGACACAATGACCAACAAGAACCCTTTACATGTGTCCCCCAGCTCTGGACTGCGGTGTCCACCTCTGCCTCGCAATCCTTTACATGTGTCTCCCAGCTCTGGGCTCTAGACTGCTGTATCCACCTCTGCCTTGCAATCCTTAAATGTACATGTGTTTCCCAGCTCTCGACTGCTATTTCCGCCTCTGCCTTGCATTTCTTTGTCTTCCAGCTCTGGACGTCGCAAACTCTAGTTGCACAGTGTCTCGATTATGAAAAACACAAACTGTTTGGGGTCTACGGTGGTGTGATTGTTCCCAAGCAGTTTAGTGTTAGGGGTTCTCAATTCTTTCTTAAGATGTGTCCGCCCTTTCTGTCACTGCTGGTGTCCGTCCTTTTCCGCTGGCCATGCAGCATTTCTATTCATTCCCCAAGCAGTTTACTGTTTTGGTTCTCAATGCTGTCGGCCTCTCGCTTGCAACCTCTGCTTTGCAATCCTTTACATGTGTCTCCCAGCTCTGGACTGCTGTGTCCTGCCTTGCAATCCTTTACATGTGTCCCCCAACTCTGGATTTACAAAAGAAGCGAGCCCGTCGCAATCTCTAGTTGCAGAGTGTTCCGATTATAAACAACACAAACTGTTTGGGGCCTACGGTGGTGTATTTTTTTAATCGCTCAACTTGACGCCCATCAATTTTTTCGTATCTTCAAGGAATCAGCGCCATTTATTGATTCCTGCTTCAAAGATGTTGTTTCACATATTTTTCCGCGACATCTCCGAGAAACAGACGGTCCTTCGGTCTTGCGGGCCCATGTGACAGCCACTGAGGCCCTTCTGAGCGTCTTTGTAGTGGGCTTCTTCGTCTATTGCTGCTTCGGAGCCTGGAAGGTGCCCTACTGGAGCTCCCAACAGCAACAACACTTGGTGCCCTGGAGCAGGGCGGAGAGAGGACGGCGGAGATGGGGAGTGAAGCGAGTGGCTGACTTGAGGGAGGAAAGCGGAAGGGAGCGTTTGGAGGTTGGGCAGAAGTCCTTTTGAATGGAGTTCTGCAACCCAAACCGGCTTACTTGGCTTCTGGACAGATTCAAAACAAAGAGCTTCCTTAGGTTCCGCGAACTAGTTTCATGCTTGCCCAATGCCCAACATCTTCCTCCCCTTCCCGGACTGACTCTCTTCGTGCTTTGCCGTGAAGAGACAACCCGTGGTGCTGCGCTCGTGTTCGAAGCGTGCCGACCCGTTATCTCACTGAGGTGAAAGCTTTCCTCTTCTTGATCGGTAAGTTCCGTTTGGACGTTTGGTGGTTCGGCCTGTTCTTGCTCCATGGCGGCAGGCATGGCAGCTGTTTGGCCCGAGATGTGGTGGTGAAGGTTGACAGGTCCAGATTGAACAGACGCATCGACATGTCGGCTTTGAAGAAACAAAACCAAAAAGGGAAAGTTTTATATAAACTCCTTCAAAAATTCAAAAAGCCATTTTCGTAGCCATTTTGGCTCAAGCAAATTTCGTTTGGCTCAAGGGGCTCACAGGTGCGCGCGTACACGCGGGGCGCATGGGCTGTGGCTCGTGTGGCTGCGCGTTGCGGCTGACGTGCGGCGGCAGCGTGGCTGACGCGCTGACCGCATCTTCTCGGATCTTGCCTTAATTTGCGTTCAAGGGGCCAAACTACCAAAAAATAAAGGTGGGTTTCCCTACCGTTTGAACCCTCTTTTCTCGCATGGAACTTACTCTCAGTGACTACCTTAATTTGTTCATTGTTCTGGGTGCGGTTTTGTGTGCATGGTATTCCTTTTGGATCCAACATGGTGCACACATCCTTCTTGCATGGAGATCGGCTGGTGAGTTGCTCCTCACTGAGTGTAGCTTAATTGGTTCGGGGCACAGTTGTTGCGTTTGTTGACGTGTGTTTCTTCTGTGGGTCTGCCCACTGATGTTTTGGTTCCTGCGTGCTTTTGTGCGTGGTGCTGTGTTTGTGGTTACCTTTCGTTGGGGGTGCCGCGACCTGCTCATGGATGTTCTGAATGCCGATGGTGGCCTTGCCGCCGGATCGGCCGTACTCGTAAACCCCTGCCTATTCGATGCTATCGTAGGAGGGTTTGGCGACTTGATTGTGACCGTGGTCGGCTGTTGGTCCTTGGTTTCTCTCTTTGGTGGGGCCTGGCTCTCGCTGCTCGGCTTTGGTTTTGGCTCGCTCCCCTGGCCTTCTTTTCGGTTCAGGTCCATCGCTGGTTTCTTTCCTTTTGCTGGCTTCAGCACTTGGGAGGTTTTCGTGCTCGTTCGGCTTGGTGGATGTCTTGGGTGCATGTTTGTGGTTGCGTTTGCCCTCACTCTACCTCAGTTGTGGGATCGGTGCTCGCCTGCGCCTGCGCCTTCGGACGGCAGGTGGCGGGGCTGTCCTAGGGTTTACACTAAGAATGTTTTCCTTGACGGGGCTCGTTGTTCTCCCGCCTTGAACTGTCTGTTTGGGGGGGGGGAGCGACTGAAAAGGACCTGTTGAATAGCCTTGTGGAGGTTTTGGCTGCTTTTAGTGAGCCAGGTGGTTCTGCTAGTTTTCCCCGACCTCACGATGGAGAACCTTCTAAGGGCAAGAACAAGGGGAAAACCGAGGATGCTCGCACTGGTAAAGGTAAGGGGTCCACTCTTCACCTTACTAAGGGTAAGCCTTCTAAGGGCATCAAGGGTACCAGTAAGGTTTCTCCACCGCAAGAATTATATCGGTTCCTGGAGGCGATGAGGCTTTGTTGAGCGCCTTGACACCTCTTGTTGAGCGGTCTCAAAAAAGCCAGGGCTCAGGGTTGTTGCAACAGCTACACAGTTTGGTCGCTTCCGCTTCAAAGGGTCAGGGCTTGTCAAATAGCGTCGAGCTAAGAAGAAAAATGCAGGAAAAGGTGCCGTTGCTGAAAAGCATCCTGAGATTTCCTTCTCTAAAGGTAAAGGCAAAGGTAAAGGAAAAGGGCAACACTATCCAAAAGCGGCTCAAAAAACTGCCGCTTCAGGAAATAGTTTTCAGCCTGTTCGCCTGCTGCCTGCGGGCTGGCCTGAGAAGGGCTTCGTGACATGTTGGCTAAGGGCCGCAAGGTTGTGTCACTTGGGCCTTGGAACATCAGGTGCCCGAACTTCGTAACTTGGCTCAGATCCATAACATCAAGAAGGCTTTCGCTATTGTTTGTCTTGTTAATTAAGCCCGGCCAGACAGAAGCGCCGCACCCAGGAGGGGTCAAGCGACTCCTTCCGACCACTGACAAAGAGGGATTTCTGGACTTTCCCCCTTGCTGACCAGTTTCCTACTTTGCCCAGTTGTACCATGTCTTCCAGCGCTGCTCCTGTTCAGAGATCACTGAGCACCCTTCGAGTTCAGATACCCAAACGTTTCCAGACGCACGAGGCTTGGTCTCAGGTCACCCGCAATCCGGCTGCCACCCTGAAGAGCCTTGTTGAACCTAGTGTTTTTCACAGCACTTTCAAATGTTCCCAGGTCACCCACAAAACTAAGTTTGGGGGAGAAGAGATTGTCTTGGAAGGTTTTCTCAAACTCGATCAGGCCGCCGTTTTTGACACGTTGCGTCGCTCGGGATCCAAAGGTGTTTCCTGACTCAGATGACCAAAGACAATATCCTAACCCGCCGACAGTCGCGTGGATTTCTAAGGTTGATGGTGAATACCTTCCCAGGATCCAACAAGTTGGCTACACCAGAAATGCCCCACTCAAATTTCGGATCGGAGGAGGAGCTTCTTTAGGTATTGTTGGCAAAGTCGAGCCTGCGGAGGCTAAAGCCAAACTGTGGCAGGTTGCTGGAGTCCCCAACAAATGGAATTCGCTAGATCTTCATCGATGTCTCGAGGCTGCCGGGTTCCAGGACACGATTTTGCAGCGGGCGTCCTCTCGTTCTCCCTGGCTGGTCCTCACCAAGGTCAAAAATGAATTCCAGGATTCTCAGGTTTTTGGGGTTGAAAACAACGGTGTTTGTCTTTCTATCAGCAAACTTCCCCGCCGCAAGAAGCCTGTTTTGAACAAAAAGGCGATTGGTGCTGGGTCCTGGTCTGCCAACCGTAGTACTACCACCATTGGCCCCACTGCGGATGTTAACCTGTCAGGTGAACGAGAAACTGAGGCTGCACCAACTGTCGCCCCTGAGCACGGCGCAAAACGGCCTAAGGTTGATACAGAACGCCCTTACGAAATCATCGACTGTGGAGGACAGGGGAACTGTGGATGGAATTCTATCAGTGCCGCTTGGGCCCTAGCGCGCCAAGTCCCTTTGGAACAAGCAAAAGCTGAGGTTGCTACTGCTACTAAGACATTGCGGTCAGACATTTATACCTACCTGCTGCGACATGCTGACGACTACCGGCACCTTTGGGCTCCCAACCCTGATGAAACCCCCACGACTGCCGGAGGGCCGGTCCCTGATAGCTTTGAAAGCTGGTGTAATAGTACCCTTAGAGATGGCCAGTGGTTGTGTGGCTTGACCCTGGATGCTATTTCTAAGCGATGCGGTGTGAAGATTGTGGTGGTTGAAGAAAAAGACGATGGTTCGGCTCCCCTTTGCCGAACTTTTTCAATTGATCACAAAGCAAGCTGGCTTCACTTTCCCACAAGATTGGCAAAAGGCCACGAACACCAATGATTGTGCTCGGCTCAGGTTGCGGGGGGGCAGGTCGCTTTTGGGCTGAAGCTACCCCTTCTCAGCGCAGCCGCTCGGTCGCAGCTTCCAGTCAGAAAACTGGACGTAGGCAGAGTCCGGCGCCGTTCTCCGCTCGCGCTAAGGGTTCCGTCTCCAAAGGTCACATTTTTTGTGAACCGGTCACCCCCCAAAGGGATGTTGTCCCCATGTGCCAAACTAAGGTCGATACAGGCGCACCAGCCTCCTCACGGATCAGGTATTGGACGAAAACTACACCAGAAAGTAGTCGTGTTGGTTTTGACAGCGCACAGTCAATTGGCAGTCTCCAGCCGCCGCAGTGGCCACGAGCAATGTGCCAAGCGGTTTGAAAGGGCGACTTGGCACGGTACACGAGATTTCCCTTGAAGAAAAGAAAGGTCGTCCTTGGTGGACTTGCCACCTCTGTGGTTTGCAGATCTTCCAACAGTTTCCTAATGGGAAGTATTGCGCTTCTCATTTCAGCCACCGAAAAAACCATCTCAAAAGGGTTCACGCTGTCAACAAACCTCCTCCCTTGCCCCGCCATGGTTTGCAGGACATTGCCATTTGCACTGCTGCCCGTGTCAGACACAACCATGAGATTGCTTGGAAAGCTGTCTGGGAAGCGTATCAGAAACGTCGCTGGCCAGGAAGTCATCGCATCAGCTATGAGAGTGAAAAGACTTTCTCACGTTCTGCATGGTTCGTTGTTTACAAACAAAAATGCCTTGACTGTGGTGTCAGTATGTGCAGAGGAGATGTTCCAAAAAGAGACCCCTGCCCTAAAAACCCTGGGAAAAGAATGCCTTCAAAGGAAAAACGGGTTCGGCTTTGGCGTGGATTCAACAAATTGCATAAAGGTGCACTCAAGACAGCGCGTCAGGAGCGTTACAAAGGAAACATGAGTATTAAGGAAAGCGCGTATGCTCGTGCTTTATGGGTTGCTCAGCGCCGGAACCTTAGTAAAAAAGCAGATGGTACCAGCATGACACTCAGAGGAAAGCGCGGTGAAAGGGTGAAAGGGTTGGCGAAGCTCGTCATCCGGGTCTGTCAGGTTCTGCCCCGCAGAGTCATTCTCTGCGCATTTGGTCCAGTAACATCTCTAGCTGGAGTAAGCGCGCTGAAAACTTGTAGGTTGAAGCTCGAAAGCAAGACGTTCACGTCATTTGTTTCCAGGAAACGAATTTGCGCACTCAACACTTTGCGGTGCAGGCTAGTCTCGCCCGGAAATATGGATGGCAAGTGGCTTTTACTGCCCCTTTCGGAAGAAATCGGGGTGGCTTAGCTGTTGCTGTTCGTGAACCTTTGGCTTTCACCGTCACGGCTAGCCTGGCCAAGGACAACGGCCAGTATCTGCAGGTCGAAGTTTTTCCAGCTGGTTTTGCTTTCCAGTTGTGCAATGTGTATCAGCGGCCTAAATGTTGGGACCCCGAACTTGTTTATTCGGTTGTTGGAACTCACTCCTCTACCCCGTGGGTCTGTCGCGGTGATTTCAATTATTGCGTGACTGATTTGGTTATTGGCAATGGTACCTTAGTCGGGATGGGTAGACACACTAATACCCCCATTGATGGAATTTTTGCTCAGAATTTTGCTGCGTGCACGGGCGGAGAACGACCCAGCGCAGGTCAGGACCACTCATGGGCACGGGTTCGTTTGCCTCAGTGTATCAAGG